ACTTGGTGATGATGATGTTGATGATGATGGTGGTTCGTCGGGTTGACGACTGTTGCAAATTCGCCATGAGACAGCTTGTGCGGCCTGGTGACTTCCGCCTTAATAGTGGGTGGAATGGGACTGCGTCGGATGCACGTTGTTGGTGTAAAGTGTAAAGGCCACTCCTGTTAAGTGAGTGCAAGTGGGCAAGTGGGGTCCGAGATCGAGTACCTAATAACCTAGTACCTAGCACGCTGCTAGGCCCTGCTAGGCGAATCTTGTTTGCAGTTGCATGTGGCGTGACATGTAAGCTGGCAGGCGTTGCTGTGTGTGTGTGTGTGTGTGTGTTACTGTGTCGAGTCCAATGTTCAGGCCCGAGTGCCTCCACTGCTTTCGGATTGCGTTCTTGTTTTCCCGCCCTCCCGACTCCCGGCCTGTATCTGCCGTGGGCGGGGGATTCAGTGGTCAGCAGCATCTGAATCCATGATCAACGTCGGCGCTGATGGCTTCTAACATAAACCTTCTCTATCGCTTTGCTTGAAAGTGGCAGCAGCGGTGTGAAGTGTGTGTGTGTGTGTGTGTGTGTGTGTGTGTGTGGCCCGTGATTCGGCCTGTGTTAGCACGAAGCTGTTGGTGTTGCAGAACACGGGCAGAAGTCGACTTTCCGTGTGGTGTTGATGCCGTGCTCCTGCACCTGAGCAGTGCAGTCCAAGCGCAAAGCGTTCCGATGCACCTCGAAAGGGTGAGGGTATCCCGTAGGGCCGTAGGATGTCTCTGTGCGTAGATGGAGAGGGGCCATGAAGTTACAGTTTCTTTGTGTTTCACCCCAGTTACCGCTCCCAAGGCTGAAGTCACATTCCCGGGAAGAATAGGGAACTTCTTGATCTGTCTCTGCCTCTGCGGGCTGTTGTGGTTTCGGCTTCGCATTTGCAAAGCATGCTGCGCTGGGTGCTTGTGTGGTTTTTGCCGATGGCTTGTGCGGATGTATTGCAGGTGTGACCCGTTGGCAAGACCAGTTTCCTCCCTGACAAATGCGCCGTGGATGCAGGAAGCCTTGGACGCTCTCACTAAGCAGCATCCTGAGGCTTGCCGGCGTGTCGCTTCGTCACTAAGCGGCTAAGCCCACTAAGCCACAAGGGAACAGCAACTCAGTGTGTTGCAGTCAGGTGGCCGTTTGGACCTTGCGCCAGATGACCAAGGACCCATCGGCAGCAGTAACAATTGGTAGCCTAGCAGTTAGTGCCAGAAGTCTGGCACTGTAGTGACCTGGTAGTGTTTCCCTGTTCTGTTGGCTTCAGCTTGAAATGCTTTCAGTGTCTTGGCGCATGATTGGTGGTTGGTTTGTGACACGGTACGTATAGCGCTGCAAGCCTCTCGTCTTCATGGTTTGCTGTGCTTTCAGCAAGACAGCGTGATAGAGCACAGAGTGACGCTGGATTGCCCGGAGCGCAGCACTTCCGCCTGCAGTATGTAGACTTGTACACTTGCTGTGTGCTAGATTCTGCTGCTAGATGCTAGATAGATTGCGACTTGCTAAGGAAGTGAGGATGGTTGGCAGTTAGCAGTTGATCAAGATGACAGGATGTTTTGGCGAGAACCGGAATGGATGTCTGTGCTCGTGTCGAGCTCTCAGACTAGTTAATCAATCATGTCTGCAAGTGTGTGCTGCGTGTAGATTACGTGCCTGCCGGCGCTGCCGAGGACGTCTCGCAGGCGTGTCCGCAAGGCCACCCTGCTTGAGCCAGGTCCACTGTCATGCTGCCCATGACGAGCAAGCGTGTGTAACGATGTGCAGGTTGGTCAGAAATCTCGCCTGGCAGCACGTGCTTGGCGCCGGCGTGGCACCAGCCGACACGGAGCTGCCCGAAGCAGTTATCGCTGGGTGCAACGATTGCTGCTGCTGAAGCAACCGGTCTGTGTAATTCCTGCCTAGCAGGTGGGCTGTCGGCAAGAGAAAAAATTGGTGCGATGGAACTAGAACGATTTGTGAGAAGACGCGCGTGAAGTTTTGTGCTTGTTTGCAGGCGTTGCAACCGCATGCAGTCTAAGCTGGCCTTGCTCTCAAGCTGTGTCTGAGCCGGGCCCAAATCCTGCTGACTGGCCAGCTCCAACGTTGTCGTGCTCGCCTGATTTCGGTGCCACGCCGCATCATCGTCGAAAGTGCGGTCTTTGTTGGTGTTTTGTGCCGCCTGCAAGGTGTGTCGTGCCCGACAGGTGAGTTCTAAGTCACTGTTCTGTACATGCGTGTGCTGTTCTGGTGCGTTGTCACATGTTCAGGTTGGGAGCTGGGCGAACTGGGGCACTGCGAGGAGATGTCTTGAGTCTTGTCATAATCGACGCGAGACAGAATGATTCAATATCCTGTCTTCCATTTCTAGGCCCCTGCAGGATACACCGGACAGTGCCCCGTCCGGATGAAGTTAACGATGTTGAGCGCTCGCGAGAAAGTGGCTATTGCGCAGCGTTGTCATGTGTTCTGGCCATGCCGCATCTTTTGAAGTAAGTAGATCAGATGAGCTAAGCGCAGTGTCGTGATACTATGCAACCAAGTTTGTCCAGACTCGATTGGAGCCCATCCGATTTTTGGGACCAGCCCAAGCTTGTTGGGGTCCGTTCTATCAGGCTGCTGACGCGGCTGCTGCAGCCAGTGCTCGAGCCGTGTGCAGCCGCGGTGACAAGCCAAGAAGCGAGAGACAAGTTTTTCACCGTCGCAGTCAGTGGTTTCGACCCGCAAGCTGGGGCTGCCTTAGCCTTAGCCGCCGAGATGCCTGCACTGGAGTCGGCAGATGCGCCGCTATCGTCTATCGTTGTGGAGCTTGCGAAGGCATTGCCTGCGATCAGCTCCTGCGAGCCTACACCGTCGCCGCACGCTCGGAGCCAGGCATTAGGGTTTAGGGTTTAGGGTTTAGGGTTTAGGGTTTAGGGTTTAGGGACGTAAACCAGGAAGCACCTTGCTGGAGGAAGCCAGGGGCACCATTGTCGCAGCGCATGGGCTGCTGGCTTTGTCGTGAGCCTGACTCTCCTGACCATGACTGACTGTGAACGATTGGGTGGTGGCGTCAAGCAGAAGTCGTCGGTGCTCCCAAGGGAGCTTCGTTGTGTAACAGTGCAACAGTGTAACATGTTGTTACACCTGTTGTCTGCTATCTCTGCTGCGATAGCTTCTAACAGTTCTGACCGATCGCTTTAACAACCGTACTTGTGTCGCGCATGTAGGTAGGTGAGTAGTCTTGAAGTTTTCGAGTAGTCGAACTCGCTTGACTTTTGGCGCAGCTTGTTCCGATGCTTGCTCTTCGTGCTTCCACGCTGTTGTGTGTCTTGGCCTATCAGCTGGTGCCACCGTCAGGTATGGGAGCTCATTGTGCAGCGCTGGTGTATGTTTGTGTTTGCAGAGGTGTTGAACCATGCAGCGCGTGCAAATGTCCGCGTCACAGCAGAGGGCCACCCTGCAAGTTCCGGGCTATTGGAAATCCAGACCAGCTCCGGGTCATATGGATCTGTGTGTGGAATGAATGCCGAAGCAGCAAGTGTGGCATGCAGGCAGTTGGGCT